CCCCGGCAGGCGATAGGAAAATCTGGAGCGGGGTAGGGCCGTGGCCCCCCCCCTTTTTTTTTTTTTTAGCTCCTCTTGAGTTCTCTCCACCAACGGCAGCCAGATTTAGGCAGCTTAATTAATTAGCTAGTGTTTATAAAGCGTTTGAAGAATTTTAAAAGTGCGACGTATGTGCCAAATATTATTTTAATCTGTGTATGTGTTTTTTTTCCAGCAGTTTCCCCCTTCTCCCTTTTCTTTCTCTCGGCAGGTTCTGTCTGGGAACCGGGCTTGTTAAAACTCACTCCTGTGGTTCTGGGCCTGGGGTCACCACCCTGGCATCGCTGACAGGGCCATTTCTGGCTCGCATCTGCCCTCCTGGCACAGAGAGCAGCTGTCCAGGGGCCTGAAGCAAGCCGGGGGGGTAGAGGCCGGCTGGACAGGCATTCTCAGGCACTGGTGGGAGTGGAAATTGGAACAGCCTTCTGGGAAAGCAGTTGGGCAGGAAGCGCCAAGGTGTGAAAGCTGCACACAGTCTTTGCCCGGCTCTTACACAAGGATGGAACCCCATATATAGAAGGGGGTTCCTGCATCACAATCCCGAGAAAGCTGGAGAAGACCCAAATGGCCAATGGGAGGGAAAGGTGAAGCGAATTCCAGTCTAGTCCCTACATGGAATTCCAGGCGCCAAAAAAGCCATCGCTCTGAAAACTGGTAATTTGGAAATTTTTGCATGGCATAATTTCAAATGATATTATGATTATGCAAATAAAACCTGTTCATTGCAAAGCATTTAGAGAAAACAAGAAAGTATTAAAAACAAAATAATTATTTCATAGAATATCATCAAAGATAATGGCGATTAACATTTTGATGCTTAAAATATGAGTGAATAAAAACAACGCAAAATCATACTCAGATACTAAGGAAGTGAGCAAACATCTTATAAAAATAAAAATTTAGAAATACCCTAATGTCCAAAGGAAGGAGACGGTCTGATTCTGTAACAGTGAACCCTCAGGACACCAGCCTACAGCCACAAAAATGACAATGCAGAGTTATAATTACTGATACAGAATAAAGTTGAGATCAGTTACAGAGTGACAAACTCAGCTTGATTCCAAACTTCTAGCTTTGGAAAAAAAAAAAGTATGTGTGATATTAAAGATTAGCAATGATTAATGGTGAGTCGCAGATTTATAAGGGGATTTGCTTTTATGTTTTCTGTTTGTATTACCTCAGCAATAAAAAAGAAGGAAAAACTGTGATTTCAATATAATGATGACTTTGTAAAATAAAATGAAACTATATATAAATAAACACGGCAAAGTACTATACAAAGCCATAAAATGCAATTCTCTTTGGGTCATGAATCTAAAACGGATGAGGTTTTCTTTATCCCCCCTTTCTATTTTGGATATTTTTTAGAGTTTCTAAGTTGGATAGATCTTAAAGGCTATTGACAGCATGCCCATTTTGTAGTAACGAAAGCCAACACACATAATGTGCATGTTACATATGTGTTCACGTTTTAAATGAGCCCTCTATCTCCAGGAATTTTGTCTGGTTTGTTCGTTGTTATTTCCCCAGCTCCCGAGACAGAGCTTGGCACAGATTAGCTGCTCAATAAATATTTGCTGGCTGACCGATGGAATGTCTAGAGAAAAGGTTTACAGCGATAAACACCATGATGTTGAGGGATCTTCTGTCTTGGGAATGGGACCAAGGATGGAAACGGACACATTTTCTTTTTACTTTACAGTAAACAATAAAACAATACCTGACATTGTTTTATGTGTTTGTGGGAGGGTTTTGGGGGGGGTGGGAGGAAAGGGGGGGTTATAAATATTTAATGCTTTTGGAATGACATTAATGAAGTCACACCTGTAAGTTTTCTCATGGAAGAAGCCAACACAGTGGGTGAGAACTGGGCCATGTGCTTGCTGGAGGAGGGGCCTAGAGCCCACCCGGAGCCCCCAGGACAAGACACAGAAGCCCCAGGACCCCCGGTGGGTGGGGTCAGATACTGGAGTCCACCACATGCTGGCCCTGCACTGAGGGTGGCGAGCAGCTGGTGTCTGGCCACAGAGTTTGCACACGAGCAGGAGAGACAGATTTTGCAGAGATGGCACAGATGATGGTGTTTGGAATGAACCCTTCAACGAGTAACTCCTGAGGGCATCTCTGACCCATGCCCTGCC